GAGGCGGGCGATGGAAGGCCGATGCCTCCGTCGCCCAGCTGGAGTGGCCGCGGGGGTGGGTCTGGAGTCGGGCGGCCGCCCGGGCTGAGACTAGCAGAAAAGCCTGTTGTGAAACCGATACAACGGGATCTAGAAAGATGTGGTCTGTAAGGAACGCATAGGCTGGATGGTGGTAAGGTAAACAGTAGTGGGTGAGAGTGGGAGGGGGGTGGGGGAACGGTGGCGGCGGCCAGAGGCCTCTGCATCCCGTTGCCATCCCTGGAGTGGGGGGGAAGGGACCCAGCCTCCAGTTGCCGGCCCAGGAGTCGGTGGTGGGGGAGGGGAAGGGAGTGGGCGACAAGAGGCTTCTGCCTCCTGGAGCCTGGAGAGGGTGGGGTTTGCAGAGGGGTGGGACCTCAGACAGGTAGAATGCCATAGACTACACCCTCCAAACCAGCCATTTTGACCTGGGTAACAATTGCTGCCAATCTCCAGGTGAGGGCTACAGATCACTCACAATTACAACTGCTCTTCAGGTAGCAGAGATCAGTTCCTCTGGAGAAAACAGTGGACTCTGTCATTATACCCTGCTGAGGTCACCACAGCAAATTGACACTGTTTGCCCAAAGCCAGAGCACTGCCCCAGAGCCTCTTTCTAGATCTCGTTGTATTGCTTTCACAACGGGCTTTACTGCTAGTCACTCATAAATTTATAAATTTCCCCCTAGAGATCTTTCATTGTATCTGCTGCCTCTTGGCCAACTCTGGAAGTAGTTGTCCTTAAGAGTTCTTTGATAAATTAGAAACTTGCCATCCACGCATTCAGTGGCTTATGACACTTTAATATGGATTTCTTCGCTGGATTTGATATAACAGTCCTTAAGTAGGACATTTCTACAATGATGCCATGGATGAGCACATAGAATTTAAACTGTATGAGCTGTACTGAGCTGTGTTTTGCCCTTAGGAAGCTCAGTTTTTCAGAAATGTTTTAAAAAATTAAAATCCAGTATGAATAGTTTATATATCATTTTAGAATTACGTAAAGGATCTCAGCCTTACGTAGCCATCTTGTAAAGTTATTCCTTCTCTTCAGATGAGGCTCTAAGGACAGTTCATCAGCTACATTAAGAGGAAAAACAGATTCATTGGGGGGGGGAGATGAGTTCACACCCACTGGCTGTATTCCTCTCACCCTGTCCAATGAACTCACCTACACTCACCCCTAATTTGCTATTTAGGCTGTATCCATAAATTCAAGATATGCCTAGAGGTTGCTAGCTTCCGGGTGGGGCCTAGAGATCTCCTGGGATTACAACTGATCTCCAGATTGCAGAGATCAGTTCCCCTTGAGAAAATGAATGCTTTGAATGGTGGACTGTATGGCAGTATACCCCATGGAAGTCCCACCCCTACTAGGGTTGCCAGTTCCCCTCACCGTCATGGTGGGGGGATTTGGGGGGGGTTCCAGGGGTGGGCAGGACATTGTTAGGCGATGTCCCGGTGCAATGACGACACCCAAAAGTGACATCATCACATCAGTGACGTTGCAATATGACGCTCTGGTTCTTGGGCAAAAAGTCTATGGTTTTTTGGCTTTGAAATCATAACGTTTGCCCAAAACCCAGAGCATCGTGTGCAACATTGCCAATGCGATGACATTACTCCTGGGTGATGCCATCACATCAGGGACATTGCCCAACAACATCCCTATTTGGGGGTGGGCTTTCCCCCACTGGCCAGCTGACCAGTGGCGAATCGCAGCCCCCAAAAGCTGGGGAACCCCTGCTGGGACCTGGCAACCCTAAACCCTGCCCAAATCCCACCCTCCTGAGGCTCCGCCCTCAAATCTCAAGGATTTTCTCAACCCACAGTTGGCCACCCTGTTCATATCCAGTATAGGACCACTTATGTTCTGCAACTTTTCCCTTCCCTCTATCTATTACTGCATCTTTTGGAGCATCCAAAGTCCACATTCCTGAGACTAGATAGTTGGAGAAAAATATGCTGGGTTGTTTTATAAGTCACCACAAAAACAGGTTTTTTCTCTCTCTTTGAAAAGATAGATTGCTGAAGTAATGAGCATCTACCAACAAAAATCCTCACTTGTTGTCCTCTTTGGGTCAGGTCACACAGACATTTAGTGCGGGCTTCGCTGCTGATCCCTCGCGCATTAAAGTTTCCTGTTCATATTGGCAAACTTGCCTCCCACACCGAAGCGGGCTGAGTCCTGCGGTTTCCGCTCTTTTTATCCGCGTTTTCTGACACCCGTTGGAACAGGTGTTTTTCCGATATCTCGTGCTTTGTATCCGCGGTTTTGGTATCTGGACAGCAATCCGCCATGACCACGCTACCCCCCCCCTTTTTGTGTTTCCGGTTCAAGTTATGTGCATGTGCAAACAGGCACTAGCTTTTATTTTGGTCTTTTTAGTTTGTATGTACACCGTTATCAGTGCCCTCAAGCCGAACAGTAGGAGGGTCCACAGCTTGATCTTAGGGTCCATGTTTCCAGTCTCCATATTAAACAATGGTGGTGGCTCTCTACCAATCGCGGAGGAAAATGGAAGCTCACAGTCGGAAGCTTGGCGGAGGGAGATCAAGCCGTAATTTGCCCATGCGCATGGGAAGACAAGCGCATGCGCAGATTTTTTTAAAAAAAAAACGCGCCGCCACGGGGACGGCACACTGTGTGATCAGTACTTCGCACAAATGAAGTGGAAGACAGAGAGACCGTCTGACCACCTCCAAGCGATATAAAATATCGCGGATAGAAGAACTGCGGGAAAACTAGCGTGGTAAGAGGTCCGTGTGACCCCTGGAGTGGGCCTTTGCATCCTTACTGTTCTCTCAGACTTTTCAGAGCACAAACGCTTGCAGCCCTCTGACTGCTTCCTTCAGATTAGTTCCCATAGCTTCAATATCATTTGACTAAGTGGTTTGCATCTCACAGGCTCTGCTTGAGTCGATATTCAAATGAAAACTCTGCAAAGGGATTATATGAATAATTCTTTTCTTGGTATTCCAAGCCTAGAAACCTCAGAGGTATATGAAAACTGGGAGTTTAATCGTTTACCGAACAGCTGAAGGCAGACTGAGAGAGGTTTTGGTTCGTGTAGTATGCACAACATATATCTCTGTTGCCTCTGGTTAGACTTTGCAGGTTTGTGAACCAATACAGAAACCTGCTAAACCTCTTTTTCAGAGACGTAAAAGAAAAAGGGATGCGTAAACATCACAAGCAGTGATACTTCTTTCAAAGGCTCTCTAGCACTCTGGAGAAACAATCCCGTTGTCTGTCAAGTGGAAAAAATATGAAAAAAGAACCCTCCAACATAAATAAACAAAATAAAATTGCTTTCATTTCACAATAATCCTGTATATTTAAGCAGCCAGAAGGGGGAGACTTTCCTGTGATATTCTATTTCTAAGTGGTATCTTTGGTTCTGAAATCCCAAACTATTTTGGAAGAACAAGGATAGTATACGCTGAAGTCCATCAAAGTTTCTGTTGCTCCAACAAAACCCCCAGGGTCACAGAACAGTGTGTAAAGAGAGATTAGAGGTGTCTGTTCTGACAACTCTCTGGATCGCCTGGTGTTTCTGGCAGTGCCCTCCACCCTATCCACTGTTTTCCCTTCCCTTCCTTTTAGGATGCTGCGTTATGGCCAGAGACATGGTTTTAGTTATTAAGCAACAGAAGCCAGACTCCCTGCCCTCTTCTGGCCAGAATATGTTGGAATGTTGCCCTCATAACTGTGAAAAGCATTAACCTCCCCCCCCCACCCTCCACTTCTTCAGCTGTGTTTCTGATGAGTCGGTGAAGCAGTACACATCCAAGGATCATCTCGCCAAGCACTTCCAGGTCCCAGTCTTCAAATTTGTGGGTAAACTCAACAAGGTGAGCAAAAAAACCAAGGCAGCTGGTCGTTAAGAGTTTACCGGCGAAACACCTGTCATGTTTATGGGCAGCAGCTGTAGTGGTGCAGGCCTTTGATATTTTAGAGATACCAAGAAAAGCAAGGGGGTGTAGATCAGAGCTGTGATGCTTTCCTTCTCCCCTGTCCCCATAGCTGTGGAGCGGGGAATAGGAGGCAAGAACAAAATGCATTGGGGACTTCCTTCTTGAACTCAGTTCCTTGACATATCACAATTTAACATTATATTACTTCAGTGACAGGAGGATAAAATTGATACTCATCATTACGTACACAGTTGGATTCAGAAGACTCATATACAAAATTCTGGGTGTTTTCCCCCTCCCCTTTCCTGCTGCATCCCCCACCATCCTCCAGAGACCTTTATGGGGCTGGAGCTCCTCAGGAATGTTGTTGGATGTGGCATGGGGAATGCAGCTATAGAAATTGGGGTGGTTCCCCTTGCGCAAGCTGAAATGTCCTCTGTTTGTACAATGGTGAGGATAGGCTCCAACCCTATGCATGAGGGTGTATGGTGCCATATTCCATTGGTTGGATTTCAATATATTCTTTGCATTGTCTTTTCCCTCATTTTCTCCTTCATCCTGTTGCTCAGCCTTCCCATCTGTACTCACTCATCTATCTCCATTTCTATTTCCACCATTTGGTGTCCTGCTTTCCTCTTGATTCTTGCCCCCCCCGAGGCATAAACTATGGGGGGGCAGTGGGGCTTAAGCCCTCCCCATTTTCTGGAGGGGGCAGTGCCTCCCTGGACTGCCAGGTAGCATCATGAAGCTGCTCAGGCTTAAACTGTACAGTCTTGTCCTCTGCACTTGTACAGAGGCCAGGGCTGACAAGAGCCACCATGGGTACCTAGACAAAGGTTCCATCTGGGCCCACCTTCTGATCCTGATCCAAACCAAATATCATGACAAAATGAACAAATCACTTGGCTTGCTATTACCATCTATATATATATAAAAGAAAGTCCCCTCACCATAAAATCAACACCCAGGCCAAACCCCTGGGCCTAGAAACACAAAATTTGGGGAGAGCACTCCTACCATGATGCAGATGCTCACTAAGAAGGGATTTTTAGAAATTCGACCCCTAAGTCGGTCAAAAGGGGTAAAATGTGCTCCCCCCATTTATTCCTATGTGGCTGCCAGGCTGCTGCCTCCTTGCACCCCCCCACTCTCTGATTGGTCAGCTGCATAGCTCAGTGTTCTGAGGTAAAAAAAGAAGCAGCAGTTATAAAGAGCTCATGACAGTTGAGGAAATCAGGAGAGGCCAGCCACCTGTGAGGTACAGCCCAGCCTCCCCATGGCTTCAAACTTGCTCCTCTTCCTACATCTGACAGGTGGTTGCAGGGTGCTTAAAGCCATCAGGGAGCTGGCCCAGCCTCCACAATGGTTTGCAATACCCCTCCCCCTCCTACACTGGACAGGTGTAGGAGAGGGGGTGGGATGCTTACAGCCATCAGGGAGGCTTGCTCAGCAGGATCAACTTAGTGCTGCTGCTGGCCAACCTCACCGATGCCTTTAAACACACTCCCCCCAACACCAGACAGGCGGGTGTATGTCAGGTGTAGGAGCAGGGCCAGGGTACTTTAATCCATCAGAGAGGCTGCCCAAGCAGAAACACCTTAGCAGTGCTGCTGGGCCAGCCTCCCCAGTGGCTTTAGACACATTCCCACACACCTCTCCTCCACCTGACAGGCAGTTGTCTGTCAGGTGTAGGAGCAGGGGCAGAGCATTGAAATCCATTGGAGAGGCTGCCCAAGTAGCAATCCTGCTGGCCCAGCCCTCCTGATGCTGTCAGACATGCTACCCCTCCTACACCTGACAGACAACTGCCTGTCTAGGGTTGGATGGGGAATGGAGTCCTTAAAGCAATAGGGGAGGCTTGCTTAGCAGGATTTCCTTAACGCTGCTGCTGGCCCAGCCTCCCTGATGCCTTTAAAGACCCCCCCCCACATTAGACAGGTGGGTGTTTGTCAGTGTAGGAGCAGGACCAAGGTACTTTAATCCATCAGGGAGGCTGACCCAGCAGGATCACCTTAGCGATGCTGCTGGCCCAGCTTAGCCACACTCCCACCCACTATGGAAATATACCCCAAATTTGTAGAAAAGTGGTTTCCTGTATTAGGTTATTTTACTTCTCACAATGTGGGTTCTAGAAAATTGGTTCCTATGAACTTGCTCAATATCTGATTCCTCGGATGTTGTTTTGAACACATAGTTGTGTCCCACTTCTTAAATGTAACATAAATGAGAAGCATTTTTGTTTTAAAAAGTATGCCCTGCACACACACACCCCCAAATCCAATGCCCAGGCCAAACCCCTGCACCAAGAAACCCAAAATAAGGGGAGTGCATTCATACCATGACATCAACCCCCACTACGAAGAGATTTCTGATAAACCTGACTCCTAAGGGGAAAAAAAGGGGGGGGAAATGTGTTCCCCAAGTGTTTTCTATGTGCCTGGCAGGCTGCTGCCTCCCCCCCTCCCCCGATTGGTCAACTGTGTAGCTCAGAGTTATGAGGTAAAACCTGCCTACTTGCACCCACCTCCCTCTAATTGCTCAGCTGTGGATCTCAATGTTCTGAGGTAAAAACCCAGTTAGAAGAGACTGCAGACAGTTGAGGACAGTTACAGAAATCAGCAGTTCAAGACTCCTGAATGGACATTTCTCATAACAGCCAGCATGGCAATTGAGTTTATGAATGTTCATGGGGAGATAGTGAAGGACCTTTCTAGGAGCCTGCTCCAGAGTGAGCTCACCAAGCAGCCTGGTGATCCTAGCACCTGAGGGCAGAATCATCACTGTGGTCTACAGAGAGGTCCTTCGGTAGAGGGGGGGGAGTCCATATGTCTCACTTCATCCTTTACATTACAATCTTCTCCATTAGAATTCCTACAACAAATGTTACCTTTCATACTTCACATCATCAGTATTATAACTGGATTTACGGAACTTAAATACTGTAGTGAAGCACGGGTATCAGGCTAGTAAATCTATAGTAATAAAAAATTGCCCTTTCTGTCCATGTTTTTTTCATTTATTTCCTTTATTTATATCCCATCTTTCTCCCCAATGGAAACACAAAAGTGGCTTACATCAGTCTCCTCTCCTCACAACAACCTTGGCAGGGCTTTTTTTCTGGGTGAACACACTGGAACAGAATTCTGGAACCTCTTCAACAAAATCCTTTTTAAAATGTTTAAAAGTTTATGCAGGGTTTGCTTGTCATGCTCCATTGCTTCATTAGTTAATGGGTTTAGCATGATCTGTTAGGCAAGTTTGCTTCTGTCTTGGAGAAAGGGAAGCCTAGCCAATAGTAGAGCATCTTTCACTGCATTCAGAATTCCCTGTGCCCCTAGTGGCTGCAGCTAGAACTGCATTAAAATAAATAGAAAGACCTTCAGCTGGATGCAGCCTGACATTGACCTCAAGGGCCCTCCAGCTGACTTAGCCCCTCTCAAAAAAATTGACACACACACACCAGTCCCCTCTCTGTTCGCAGCCCTGACAGAGGCTGCCAACTCCAATTTTTTTCTATGGGATTTTGGGACATTTACTTACCGTATGGGAGTGCCCCTCCACTGCCTTTCCTTATTTTTAACTTGGGATCTTTAGAAGTCTGCCTAAAGCCCCTACTTTCAGCCTGTGGATCACTGAAACACACAATGTACTAGAAGTTAAGGTCATTTTGGTATCCTGGGACTTGCAGCTTTAAAGAAGAAATGGAGGACATGGGAATAATTCTGTATTTAGCCATGTATGTTGGGGGCAGGGAGAGGTAAAGCTGGTGGCTTAAATGCTGGAAAATGTGATTTTGGTATCCTGAGACTTGCAGCTTTAGAGAAAAAGAAATGGGAGACATGGAAATAGCCACTTTTGTTTCTGTGCCTCTGTGCCGGGGGGAGAAGGGGAGAGATAAAGCTGGTTCACCAAATATAGAAAGTGAGGCGATTCTGCTGTTCTGGACCCTGCTTTAACCAAACAAATGTTCCCATAATTTCAGGTCAGGGTATCTGAGAAGCCAGTACTTACTGTGGATTCTGAGATGCATTCGGGGATTTATACAGAGTATCCAGTATGCGAGTGGTATAGTTGTTAGAGTGCTGGTCTAAGATTGGGGAGACCACAGTTCAAATCCCCACTTAGCCACAAAGCACACTGTGTGACCTTGGGCCAGTTACACAGTCAGCCTAAGTTGTGAGGAACAGAGAGAGGGGGAGGAAATAGTGCCTTTAATACACGAATGAAGTATTCACTCAAATTGTCTCAGTGAAGGAGTTCATGACATCTTTCCTCTCACAGAATCCACTATCTTTGACTGAGATTCAGACTATTACAAGTGAAAACAAATGGTTATACCACATGATTAATTGTTGATGGCATTTTGGGGGAAATATAAATTATTTAAATAATTTAACATAGATTCCAAAGTGTGGGCCTGGACCAGGGCCCCATAGCTTCCCTTCCCCCCAGAAACTGAGAAGCCTATGCCCCTGCCTGCCCCATCACATTCCTTTGACCCTGCATTGACCTTCAGGCAGCAAGAGTCTCCATGTACTCCATTCCCTTGCTAACACTCAGCAATTTTCATAGATGAATATGTAAGCAAGTTCTACTTGTACGTGGACACATATTATATCTGCACTTATGCCTGATCACTGCAAGACTTCATATACGTCTCTCTTTGTATTCAGGAAGTGTTCCTGCATTGCCGTGTCCTTGTGTGCGGAGTGACAGATGAGAGGTCTCGTTGTGCCCAGGGCTGCCACCGACGGATGCGCAGATGGGCTGAGACAGAGGAAGAGGAAGCCAGTCATGTCGTTCACCATATCCTGACAGGGGGTCCCATTAGGATTGACATGGAGAAGTAGATCTGTCTTATAAACATACTGTCTCACTGATGTTTTCTCCTATGTACCTTTGATAGCATCTAGTAGCTATTGTGCCAAAACTTTTTTTCCCCAGTTGACAACATTTGACCTTCTTTATTGAGGCCGAAATACATACAGTGTCTTTTAAGTTTTCCTGTGGTTTGGGTGCCCCTATGAAGCATTCCCCCCCAAAAAAACCAACAACAACCCTTCCTCACATCCTTGTTTTCCTTTTCTTATTCTTCTGCGGTTTCTCTGTCATTCTTCTGTGCTTTCTCAGACTGGATCAAAGGTGTTTTGCGAAATCATGGAAGAAATGATGAGGAAAGTATGGTAAGACAACAAATGGAAAACGAGGGTGTGAGGAAGCTCAGAGAGAGAAAAGCACTGCTAATAGGGTTGCCAAGTGCGATCTTCGCCACAGTGGGGGACTCCCGGCTGGCGGCTGGGGTGCGCGCCGCTTCCTCGTCACTCGGAAGTGACGCGACCACGCCGGGCACGCTGGGAGCGGGGCCATGACCATCTGAGGGAAAACCATAGAGTTTTCCCTCGGATGACCGTGGCCCCGCCTCCAGCGTGCCCGGTGTGGTTGCATCACTTCCGGGTGACGTGCACGTCGGGGTGGGGTTCCCCCCGGGGCCCGATCCGCCGGACGCGGGGAACGGGACTCTGGGGTGGGGGTTTCCCTGCCCTCCGGGGGGACTTGGCAAGCCTAACTGCTAAGCCTAACTGCTAACTCCAGGAAAACCTCCATGTGAAAAGACCCACAATGTACATCTAAAATGCTTCTTGCTAAACAGCAAATGAATCTGCACAGCACCCTTAAAAGACACTGCTGATGGAAAGGGCCAAAATGGTGTCAATGCTCTAGAAACAGTTTACATAAATTACATCTGTAACATCTAGATCAGTGGTGGCAAACCTATGGCACGGGTGTCAGAGGTGGCACTCAGAGCCCTCTCTGTGGGCACACATGCCATCGCCCCAGCCAGGCCCAGACCATTATTAAACTGTCGAATTCCCTGCCAAGTAATTTTAAGTAAATGAAAGCATTTGGGATTGCTTTCCTTACTTTGTTTGGATCATCTTAAGTTAATGTGTGGGTTGTTTTTTCTAAAGTAAAACCTCGGTATTCAGGTTAAATTGCCGTGTTGGCACTTTGCGATAAATAAGTGGGTTTTGGGTTGCAGTTTGGGCACTCGGTCTCTAAAAGGTTTGCCATCACTGATCTAGATAGTCCAGTCAAGTTCTGTCTTCACAAGGCTATACTGACATGGGAGAAAAGTGGGGAGGGGCACCTGCTGCCTGCCCCAATCATTCTGAAGTGGAACATCAGATCATTTTACAAGCATTGAAGCCAATATAAGGTTCCTTCTTTTCCCTGCAGCACATTGAGCCAGACTTGTTAATACTTTAACACACGCTCGGGTCATAAATCATCATGTCCTGGAAGATCTCCCAAATTAGATGTGAATCAATGGCACAGTAACTTGCCATGTGACACCACATTAACCCACACAAATCCAAATGTCATATTTTGCTAGCTTCACCCTGCAAAAGATGGTTGTGCAATTTGACATACCATTCCACTGGAGCTGAAAGAGCTGACTCTAGTTTAAATGTCACGGTTTCCTCTTGAGTAAATTGTATGGATTTCACCACTGTTAAATCCTGAGATCTTTAGAGTTCACAAAGAACTTGTGCCAGAACTGTTTTAATACTGATTCCCATTCTGTTTCCTAGCATGGCATCCTTACTCTTACTCTTCTCTTGTTTTTCTGGGATTATTAAGCTTTTACACATGAACACATGAAGCTGCCTTATACTGAATCAAACCATTAGTCCATCAGAATCAGTATTGTCTACAGTGACTGGCAGAGTCTCTCCAGAATCTCAGGCAGAGGCCTTTCACATCACCTAATACCCGATTCCTTAAATGGAGATGCTAGGGATTGAACCTGTGTCTTTCTGATGTACAAAGCAGATGCTGTACCATTGAGCCACAGCCCCTCCCCAAATACACATAAACACATGAAGCTGCCGTATATTGCATCAGACACTGGCAACCGCTTGCCATGTTCATAGGTAGAGGTCTTTCACATCACCTGCAGCTTGATCCCTTTAACTGGAGACACTGGGGATTGAACCTGGGGCCTTCTGCATACCAAGCAGGTGTTCTGCCACGGAGCCACATTTCTTAGTTGGTTTGCAGTCTGAAGCTTTGCTTCTGAGAGTTCTTGGCATCAGGACCATGCTGATTTGAGGAATCTGCCATGTGCATCCATATCATCTGCATGACAAAAAGCCACTGGAAACAGGTGCTGATACAGTAGCTGCAGTGCTGCTGAAAACAGTACCTGTATCAGCTAGCTAAATGTGTATTGATATGTCCTATGAACTGCAATGTTGCTGGTGATTGGTGCTGATCTCATGGTCCCTTTTTTGCCCTGTCATCCCATCACTGGTCTGCTGATAAGTTTGCTTAGCTGTGGTCTTACTGGGGGATCATGAGCAATGATTGTGAGAGATTAAAAAAACCATAGCACCAGAGGGCAATCGAGGGACCCTGCTCCTGAGGATAATGTACCATGTTGGGGGGGGGATGTGCTTATTTTAGAGCAGGGGTGTCAAACATGAGGCCTGCGGGCCAGCTCCAGCTACCACAGGGCTTGTATGCGGCCTGCATGCAACTGGCTATCGTCTGCTTCCTTCTCCCTCTCTCTTGCTTCCTTCTGCATCACAGCTTGCTTTGCCAGGCTCTCTCAATTGCACAGGAACTACAGAGCAGAGCCTCTCTTCCCTCCATTGGCTGAGGTTCCTCCCTTCTCCTCCTCCTGGAGGGTGGGAGGAAGGGAAAGAGCGAGCGCTTGCTTTGGCAGGTTCTCTCAGTTGCACAGGAGAGAAACAAAACACCTTTAAGACCAACAAAGTTTTATTCAAGGTATGAGCTTTTTGCCTTTCTACAGAGAGAGAGAGAGTCTGTGTGTTTGTGTGTTTTGTTGGGCTCATCATGCCAGGGCTCTCCTGGATGCAACTGGGTTCCCCTCCTCTTTTTCACTGTATTCATGCCCTCATGATCCAGTCTTTCTCAGTAGGAAAGCAATGTGAACTATTTAGATGAGGAATAACAAGAAGCCAGTGAGGTGGATTAGGCTGAGAGTCTGTGTCCAGACCAAGTTCACCCAGCACATTTCCTTTGTAGACTGGGGTTTTTGAACCTAGACTTCCCAAGTAACAGGCTGATACTGACCACTGGACATTGCTGTTTTTCTATTCTTGCGCTGCCTCATAGGAGTTGTAGTTATTTCTCTGGGGAAGACTATAGTTTTGTAGACAAACACATAACCCTCAGTCTGTGTCATGGTGCCTTCACACGTTCTTCACCAACACACAAAGCAACTTATGTACCAAAGCTCGCAATGCCCAGCCAATTCATGTTTTCCTCTGGGTCTTAGGCTCAAAGCATTGACCATGAGATTTCTGAAATGAACGTTAATAAATCAAAAGAAGGTTTGCAGCTTACAGATACGCATCTGAACAACACCTGAACAGCATACTCAAGACTGCTACAGCACAGACATTGTCATCAGAATTGTTGCAATAATTCACAGCAAGAGGTGTCAGTCAACAGAGACTGTTAAATAAACAAAATATTGCAAGAGTGCTAATGTTTTAAGCATATTTTATTTTAAGTTTTTTAAAAAATCTTTAATTGTGTTTGTGTCCTTTATATCTCCACTACCTGGCATTACATTTTATAATACACGTGGCCTGGCCCGACAAGGTCTCATTTATATCAGATCCGGCCCTCATAACAAATGAGTTTGACACTCCTGTTTTAGAGGAACACAGAGAAAAATAAAATCTAGCACTATCAGGCAAATATAATGTAAATGGTTGGGAAACACACAAAATATTACTGAAGTGCAAAAAGCAGATTTTCAAATTACTGAGAGTGAAGACAGAACATAAGAACTTAAGAGAAGCTATGTTGGATCAGGCTAATGGCCCATCCAGTCCAGCACTCTGGCCGATTTCCCACAAGCGCTGCTCTGCGCTCGCTCTTCCCTTTTGCCCCGATGGTACGTGTCAATTTCAGACAAGCTGCTGCGTGGCTGCATTTTGCCCCGCAGCTTCGCGCGATTTTCCCCGCATCTACTCAATCCTCAAAAAACAGGATTGAGTAGACGCGGGGAAAATCACGCGAAGCTGCGGGGCAAAATGTGTCTGCGCAGCAGCTTGTGTGAAACTGACACGTACCATCGGGGCAAAAGGGAAGAGCAAGTGTGGAGCAGCGCTTGTGGGAAATTGGTCTCTGTGTCACACAGTGGCCAAAACCCAGGTGCCATCAGAAGGGCCACCAGCAGGGCCAGAACTTCAGAAATCCTCCCAGTGTTGCCCCCAAGCACCAAGAATACAGAGCATCACTGGCTCAGACATAGTGTTCCATCTGTACCTTGTGGCTAATAGCCACTGATGGATCTCTGCTCTGTTTAGCAATGGAATCCCTTTATTTTCATGAGAACAACAGGCAAAATGTCTGCAGACCTTGAGATCTGGATAAGCAACTTTCTGAAACAAAGATCTGGAGAGTATTATACCTTGGAAGAAGGATTATAAAAATCTATGTATCTATATAACTCCTCAAACTGTAAAATAATAGAAATTCTACATAGCTAGAACTGAAAATCAAAACGTTTCTCCAGCAACCCCTGATGTTTTGAATGATATGTGTTATTTAAGTAAAGTGGGTTTTACAACTACCTCCATTATAAACTCTCCTTCCACTCCATTCCCCGTTTGCTTCTTTCTCTCCCTCTTTTTTAGGTGATATATCTGTTGTCTCTTTTACAATGGAGTAATGCCTTCTTGGAATTAAAATGAATGGCAATTCCAAAAACCAGTATGGATTGTGGTACTGTTCTTTCCTTCTTTGTGCCAATGTGAACTTGCTCAACCAATGGGCTGCTGAACATCTGTGATGTGGGATTGATAACCCCTCCTCTCCCCACTCCCCATAGTTCAAGGTTTGAACACATGAAGCTGCCTTATACTGAATCAGAACATTGGTCCATTAAGGCCAGTATTGTCTACTCAGACTGGCAGCAGCTCTCCAGGGTCTCAGGCAGAGGTCTTTCACATCACCTACTACCTGATCCCCTTAGGTGGAGCCACTGGGAAGTGAACCTGGGACCGTCTGCATTCAAAGCGGCTGCTCTACCACTGAGCCACAGCCCCTCCCCCAAGTTTGTAGAGGAAGTGTGGGAAACCTGAATGGGTTGACACCACTTGAAAAGTTGTAGCGACATAATTGTCTTGTGATGGTGGCATCTGCTATATATGTTCACTGTAGTCACACCACAGTCTCTTTATCCATTCTAGTGTTTGAAATGTTCACGCACACCCCTTTTCATGGATGGCTGTTATTAAGTCTAGATGAGTTGGGAAGGAGATGGAAGTTATCAGACAGTGCTGAGATGCCTTTTGGGCCACAGCGGCATCCGGCTCTGCATTCCCCCCTCGATCAGTCCTGCCCTATAAGCTGCAATTAATGCATCTGCTGGTTGCAATGTTCGGCTTCCCCAACCATGCTGCTGTCAAATATGCCCATGTTCAGGGGCTTGAAGACCAAGCTTCTTTGGAGCAAGAGACACATGAAGCCAGCTCCATCCATGCCAGGCAACCTAAAAGAATCATCTCACAATTCATCTCTTTCGTCCTCGTTGCAGATGCAAGCACTTCTCTGGCTGTTCATGAAGGGGCGGCAGCCCAGAGTCCAGACAGTATTGAATACTGTATCAGCTACTGATTCACATGCTGTGGCAAAAGGGAAAAGGGTGTTAGCATGATTTTGCACTGTTCTGCTTTGCTCTGTAGAGAAAGGGTCGCCAAACCTTTTGACCCTGCAGGTACCTTTAGGATTCTGACAAATGGTGGTGCAGCCAGCCACAAAATGGCTGCCACTTCTGGGTTTCCCAATAAAACCACAGTGTTCTTGGCAATTCTTAGAGAGGAGAACCTGGAAGTGGCATCACACCATCATTCACCTCTCCATGTCCCGTCCCCCCCCCAAAACCTGGTCTCCTCGTGTTGTATTGTGATGTTTTTATGCCAATGGCTTGTTTTTGTTAACGGTAAAGGTTCCCTTGCTCGAAAGCCAGTGAAATCCAACTCTAGGGTTGTGGTGCTCATCTCCGTTTCAAACCCGAAGAGCCAGCGCTGTCCGAAGACGTTTCCGTGGTCATGTGGCCGGCAAGGAGCACGGAATGCTGTTACCTTCCCACTGGAGTGGTACCTATTTATCTACTTGCAATTTCTTGCTTTCGAACTGCTAGGTTGGCAGGAGCTGGAACTAGAGACGGGAGCTCACTCCGTCATGCGGCACTCAGGTCTCGAACTGCTGAATTACTGACCTTCCACAGCCTGCAGTTCAGCGTCTTAACCACTTGAGCCACCGCAGCTCCACACCATTACGTTATATTGTTATTTTTATTATTTCAGTGTTTTTACTTTGAGAGGCACCTCAAGCATGCCTCTGGAGAGGAGGCAGAGAAATTTTCTAAGGATATCAATAGATAAACATATGTCCACAGATCATAAGAGAAAGACAGAGATCAACAGTCTACTAGCTGGGTAGGGTTTTTCTCTCCTTCCACACACAACAAACATAACCCTGAGATCCCAGAAACAAGAACTTTTCTTGCATCTCCTCTTCAAAGACTTCCTAGGATACATCTAAGGATAAATTGTTTTTAAAAGTCTGTATCTTAAGAGCATTTTGGGTAACTTATAATAACTACAGCAATGTGACTGATATAGGGCAAAGACATACCGATTTCTTACACCACTAGTATGCAGGCTACTCAGGGTATGGAGCCAGGAAGCTGTACAGAGAGGCATCAACTGCGCATTGCCACACATGGTTTGAAACATAAGGAGAGGATTGCCCAGGACACCCTGATTATAAAGAAGTGGCCCCTTTATGTTAAAGAGTCACTATCTTATGTTACATCATGCAAGTTTAGCCATATTCTCAGCATTATCCCCCTAGGCAGGGGATATTTTGAACATCGGTACCATTGCATTAAAGATATGTGCAAATGTACATAATGCGAGTGCCAGGACTACTGCAGAAGTGCACTTGATACAGTGTGTTCAGACCTACAGTCTTCTGCCCAGGATCGAACTATGGGGAAGCTGGTTCTGTGCCTTTGAACTGGAAGCCAACAACGCATTGCACTGATTGGCTGGAACCTGTCACTTATGATGCCACCTCCTGTCCCCCAGTAACTGTTTCCCCAATTTTAAACAATTGATTGTGATTATTTTTAAGGGGATATATGCACTTTCTATAAACATAGCTGAGGCACTTAAAAAATAAAAAGATGGACAATCTGACTGAAGAATGTGGAAAGAGACAAGAGGGACGCCTGGTTTGGGGGTTAAATTGCAGTTTGCATTGCAAAGACAGGAGGAAGCCGTGTGTGAAAAATGTGCTGCAGCTCAGTCGTCATGGGACATTTGTACAATATTTCATGGCAGCTCATTGGTCTTATCCCAGGAACAGCACAGCCCAATTTCCCCTCTCCTGCTGAGTGATGATGGGCCTGTGACTAATCTCCTTAAACCCTTGGCCCATGGTAAAGTGAGAGGGTTTTCTCCATTGTGCGGCTAGCCCTGCCTGCACTGATTCATGAAGAACACCCATGCACACCCTTTGTCCCTATTCCTTCCTCATGCACTTCCTAGCCAATATTTATAACCATCATGACGTTTATTAAGTATTAGAAGGAGTCCAGGAAAGGGATTAGGGATATGATGATGATGATAAACTATATAGTGCCATAAATTTGCATGGCACTTGGAGGAGAGAGACCATTCACCACCTGAGAAACACTTAAAGGAAGGCTATTCAGAAGAGAACAATCCAAGAAAAGGGAAGCAAGTAGGAGGCTGTATTCTGGCAACACAATAATTGGCCAGGTTGAATCAAACTTGGGTTAGTTCTGACATCCATCTGTAGGTAGTCCAGCGAGCATTAGAAAAATGCATACAATAGCAGCTCATTAAAATTTTAAACATCCAGACAAGTAAAACAATCTATACTCTTGGGTCAGGATAATCAAAGAAACCATCAACTGTCTTCTGGAATAAAAGAGATTCTTCCAGAAGACCGGAAATGAAAGGTGAAGTAAACTCCCTGAGGCAGGTGTGGTGGTTAAGAGTGGCAGACTCTAATCAGGAGAACCAGGTTTGATTCCCCATTCCTCCACGTGAAGCCTGCTGGGTAACTTTGGGCCAATCACGGTTCTGTCAGAACTCTCTCAGCCTCACCTACCTCACAAGGTGCCTGTGGTGAGGAGAGGAAGGGAAGGTGATTGTAAACTGCTTTGAGACTCCTTTAAAAAGTAGAGAAAAGCGGGGTATTGGGGGGGGGGATTCCATAACTTCTGTTTGTTGGTGATACCAAACCAGGGCTTTTAAACTTCATTTTTAAGCTAATTTGTTCAATACCGGTTTTTTTTTTGGTTTTTAATCCCCTGAGAACAGGGTAGCTTTATTAATTTTTTTTTCCACCTACATAACTACAGAGGAAGAAAAAGGAAAAGGGAAAAGGGGAGGGGAAAAAAATAACAAACCAAAATAATAAAACCCCAGGATACAGACAGTAAATAAAGAAACCCACACTATAACTAAAAACCCAAGAAAGGAAGGTCTTGTACAGTTAGTATACGGTTAGTCATAAAATTTATAATTTTTCGTTTAAGTCAATGAATTTAGGAGTTAGTGAGTCCATTTTAGTAGCTATCAATGTTCTTCTCAGTGTGCACAAAGTCTCTTTCATCCATGTCAGTTATAAATCTTTCAGTTCATAAGAGTTACTTGGGTACTCTTAGCCGCAAGTCATACATGTCTCTGGCCGCGCCTCCTTCTGCTCCTGCTGGGTCTCCGTCCATCTCTTTCAGGCTGTCTGCAGAGCCTTCTGCATCTGGCTGTTCTTCCATTTTCGATCAAAAAAACTGCTTCAACCATTCTTCCGCTTTGAATACCGAGTCTATTTTTTCTCTTTTTTCCTTGTATTTAAACAGCACGCCCTCTGGATAGAGCCAGGTATACTGGATCTGGTTGATCTGGAGTGTTGAAATAAGTTCTTTGTATGCTTTTCTTTTCTTCCTGCCGTTTCAGCCACCCCTTGAAACCTGAGAACTTTGTTCGCTTTTTCCATCTGTAGGTTCAATAGTTTTCTCTCTTGAAGATCTTGCCTTTGCTCCAACAGACCAACTTTTTTCTTCACCTTTTTAGTGTCGTGTGCTGTCTCTTTAAGCCTTTCATCAGTTTGAGTCGACTTTTTCATAAGCTCGGAAATCTGCTGTTGCTGCTTTGCGATATTCTGGTTCGAAGCAGCCATCAATTGGTTAAGACCATCGAGTCTCTCGTTTATGGGCTGGAGCAACTCCTTTAACATGGAGAAAACATCTCCTTCCTCTACTCTTGGACTTTGACCACCTCTCGCAACTTTCGATCCTCTCCCACGGACGCCAGCCATTTTCAGCTTTGTTTATACTAAAGAGAGCCCTTTTCACTCTTCTTCAGCAAGTGCAAATTTATCAGCAAAAAGAGCTAAGTCTTTGGCACACTTGAGTGCTTTTCGTTTCTCCCCCCCCCCTCTTTTTAAGACACAGTTCGGTTTGTTTACGTCTGGGAGTCACTCCCGGCGCCGCTATAGGTGGTGGTGGGGGGGTCGGAACTCACTTTTAGAACTTATTCGCTCGTCTTGTTCTCCGGTTCATTGACGGTCTGGTCACAGACACCTCTTAGTCGTGCTTCATTCGCTGACCTTCTTGCTTGTCCCAGTCGGCATCAGTTATGCTCGGTAAAAACCGAGCCTCTCAGGGGGTGGACCGAATGGGGCAAAAGGAGCGCCTCAATTCTCCGGCTTCAAGCCATCGAAGAAGTCGCCCCCCCAAGCGCCCCCCGCTTGGAGCCTCTCTTTCTGAGGCTCACCTGGGGGTGCCACTTGAGGTGGCACTCCTCCAACACCCCTGGAGCGCGGAAAGCCTCCCCTGCTTCAGGGGAGAGCCTCCGCCATCGCTGAAGCCACAGACCGGAAGTCAATTTGTTCAATACTGTTTGTTTAGATGGCTAACTAGCTAAAGAGACAGTGGGATAAGGAGAAAGTCCTCTTAGCTAGAAGGCAGGAGAGCGGCAAAAAACAAACAAACTGGGGTTGACACACAAACTGGGGTTGCTATTTACATCTCATAAACCATCCAGAGTTTGTTGAGCAAATTACAGTTTCCCCAAAACATGGTTCATTGTGATGCCTGTATGCCAATGGTGGATTTCTTTTATCAGGGGAACTGCTAGTCAGCCAAATGTAATAGAGCCACTAGAGGAAAATGGTTCATAATTGGGTCAAATTGTTCATAATGCTTCATTTCCCCATGACTGTGGGGAAATCTGGGGCGAGATGGAGGCACTGTATCTTAGAGATTCAAAAACTGGATGACAACATTTCAAAAATATCAGACTGGTATTCTCAAATCTCATACTTTTTGAAATCCATTACGTCACTTTCAGAATCTGCTATTTAACCAGGGTGAGTTGACATTAGCATGACCTTTGTTCATGGTAACGGGAGGGGAAAATCAGCTGGTGAAGGGGAGGGCTCCTCACGCCACCCAACCTGGCAGTTTGGTGGGCAGAAGGTTTATTTGTGAGCAGTACGATAAAAAGCATGTGAGTGATGATGTCAACGGCCTAGCAAACACTTTCAAAATGTCCCACTGAAGGCCTTGTTTGGCCTCATTCTAAAAAACACACGTGGGCGTGAGAGAAGAAATGGCAGCATTCTCATCAGTATTCACTCGATGTTCATGCAAAACCTGTGCCAATTAGGTTTATTGCTATAAATCTGTTTGGTTTAAAATGATGTCCCATCACATAAACAGAGGCTCTGTGCTTTAAATGGGCCCCACTCCAGAGGGTTACTTTATGAACATTCAAAGCAGGGTTTTTTTTATTTGGACATTTATACCCTGTTTTTCTCCACCCCATAGATAAAAGGCTACTTACAATATCATTCTCCCTTCTTCTGTGTTCTCCTCACAGCAACCACACTTGTGAAGCTGGGACTGACTGGATGGCCAAAGGTCACCCAATAAACTTCCATGGCAGAGTGGGGTTTTGAACCTGGGTCTCCCCTATTCTAGTCCGACACTATAACCACTACACCACAATATATGTCCAGTGAGACTGGATTCTTTTTTCTTTGAACGGTTGCTTTATATGACATACAACAGTGTGTATATGTGCAGTATATTGTGCACTATGTATAGGTTGGTGGGGAGAGACTTGGGGGGCTGCTATTTAAAGAAATACAAGTAAGGGGACCCGTGATATTCGCAGGGGGGGAGAGAAAGAGCTCCATACAGAGCAGGAGGAGGAGGCAGCAGCAGCAGGTAAGCCTCCCCCGGTCTCCTCCACCCCCCCGGCTCTGGCTGGGCCTCGCCGATTTCCTTTCCCCCCCTTACCTCGGTCTCCTCCACCCCACCCTGGTTCAGCTGGCCAGGCCCGAGCGGCTGCCAGCCACCGGGCCTTGCTGATCTCTTCCCCCCCTTCCCCGGTCTCCTCCACCCCAGCTCGGACGGCGAGGCCCGAGCGACTGCCAGTCGCCAGGCCCCGCCGATCTCCTCTCCCCCCGTCTCCTCCCGTCTCCTCCACTCCATGCCCCGGCTCCAACGGTGAGGCCGTGCCTCGCCTGTCCCTCCTCCCCCCGGCTCCGAAGCGAGGCCCGGCGGCTTGCAGCCGTTGTGCCTCGCCTGCCCCCCGCTGCCACCGCCGCGCCGAAGAGAGGCCCGACCGGCTTGTAGCCGCCGGGCCTCGCCGGTCCCCGCCGATTTAAATATCCCCCCGATATTTTTTCACACTTTTAAGATTTTTGTGCACACCTGGGGACTACCCCAAGTGTGCACGAAAATCTCCCTCCCCCTCAGGTGCCCCCGATGTGCGGATTTAGGTATCCGCACACAGGGGGCACCTTTCGCTATTAGATATATAGATGAATTCAAAGCCCTACTGAGCACAGGGAGAAAATTAGTGTTTCTTTGTTTTATAACACATCATAGCTAGCATGAGAAGAGATTGGATTGGATTTATACCCCACCCTTCACTCGGAGTGTCAGAGCAGCTTACAATCTCCTTACACTTCACAACAGACACCCTGTGAGGTAGGTGGGGCTGAGAGAGCTCTTTCAAGAACTGCCCTTTTAAGGAGAGCTCTGACAGAACTATGGCTTGCCCAAGGCCATCCAGCAGCTGCAAGTGGAAGTGTGGGGAATCAAACCCGGTTATCCCAGATTAGAGTCTACGCACTTAACCATTACACCAAACTGGGGGGAGGGGTGTTATGGGGAAATGGGAGAACTGTGGTTCTCTTTCTCACATAACCAACATACATTAGCCATGCTGATCTCCAGGGCCAGCAACCTGATGCAGTCAGCTCAGGTAGCAGACTTTGGGGGTAGCAATAGGGTTGCCAAGTCCCTTTAACTCACCAGCAGGGGAGGCTCCGCCAGCTCCGGGAGCCGGCTCCAGATGCGCGCACGCCACCAGCACGTCAACAGAAGTGACGTGCAACGTCACTCACATTGGAGGCGTGGCCCAGATCGTTGGCTGACGATCTGGGCCACGTCCCCAACGTGAGTGACATGGCTGTGTCACCTCTGGTGACGCAGCTTTGGGGGCGGAGTTCCCCCCGGGGCCCAATTCCGCCGCGGCGGAAATCGGGCCTCCAAAGCGGGGGTTTCCCTGCCCCCCGCCCCCACTTGGCAGCCCTAGGTAGCAATCTCCCATCTCGCCTGCCACCAGCATTTCCGGCCAGTGAGCCCAGTTGCTGCCCACATCCTGTTCTCCTTACTTCCTGTCTTTCCTGGGCCTCTCTAAGAATAGCATGGCAAACCATACATGCCGGTTTCCAACATTCCTCCTTCTTTCCAGAATTCAGCCACCAGGGCAACTAAAATGGTGGCCAAACTCTAGTGACAGTAAGTAACTTACAAGAGTTCAGGAAGCCACACTGTTCTTACAGAGGGCTGGGACGGTGGCCCATTCTGCATCTAGCATTTGCTCAGCTGTTTCACCAAACCCACCCTGGAACAGAAATTCCCCTCTACATTGCACGCCACTTTCACTTTCTTTGATTGTCGGATTTTATGGTAGCCTCCACACTGCATGCAGGTTCCACTTCCTTTGATCTCTCGGTTTTATGGTACTGTCGGCATTGATTTATGGCCGTTTTATGGCCATTCAGGGGTGACTCTGCAGTCAGTACGGCTTGGCTCAGGGTAATCTGAATGTGGTTTGGAGCCTCATCTTTTTCTGTCCCAGTGTGGGTTTGCTAAAACAACGGAGCGAATGCTAGACACAGAATGGGCCAGTGAAGCAGCAAGACAGTAAAGGGCGTAAATGACCTTGACTACACTGATGCAATAGTGAAGAAACTGCTCTGAAACAACCCTTCCCTGATGTTACAGGTGACCAGATCTTTCCCTGCCCTTCTGGACTGCTGGCACAACAGCCGTTGCAACTAAACGGGAGATGGAGCATCCCTTGGTGCAAATTAGCTGGACCCTAATGACCCCGTCTTAGCACACATCTTGGCACAAACTAGCTGTTTCTCCCCTGTTAGGAGAAGCAGAGACAGAAACAGAGTCATTATAAAGGGTTTGGGGGAATGGATGAGCAACCTGGTTCAGACGCTTCTAGAACGTAAACCATCCTAGCCTGCTGCTGCTGCTGTCTAGCTTTTCTCTTTCCAGTAGATCGTGTACAATTATAAGTACTAAAATCTACACATGTTTAATCATCCTAATGAGACAGGAAGCCAATGACGGGGGACACCGTTTGAAGGAATCTGCAAGGAGTCTGCAACTGCAGCACTGAGGGATAAACTTCTCCATTTATCTTAATTGTTACGCTCCAAAAGGAAATTAGTGACCTCTTCTGTCATCTAATGGCTACAGGTTGAACCTAAGTGGTACATGGGAGAAAGAAGCTGAATTCTGCAACATTTTTCAAAGTAACATGTTGTGTGTGAGTTGCCCTATTAAGTAACAGTTCTTACCTAACAGTCGCATTAAGTAACAGTTCTTAAAAGAATGACATTTTTTTAGAGTTCCTTTATCTCACTATTCAGCAGGCTTTCTTTCTTTAAAAGGAGTGTGTTTGCATCACTGCCCAAATACAGGAAAGTTCAGTGCAGTCTTTCTAGAGTTAATTTCCTATAGGAAACAAAGGTATTAAGATATATAGATTTCTCATGGAGATCTGTAGTGGAGAAAGCTGTCAGCCTGTGCGAAATTTTTTGTTGTTCAGCTTAGATGAAGCTCTTAACCACCCCAAACTATAGATCTTTTTTCCCTTGTTTTTTGAGGGGAGTGAGTATTGTGCATGTGTGTGCAAGCGCGTGCATGCCTGGAAGTCATGGTTGACTTCTGGCGACTCCTAGTGGGGCATGGAAACTTCATAAAGGTGGCTCACTATTGCCTGCCTCTGCATCCCAGCCCTGGTATTCCTTGGAGGTCTCCCTTCCAAGAACTTGCCTGGGTCAGCCCTGCTGGTTCTGACATGACTGGGCTTGCCTGGGCTATCCAGGTCAGGGCCCCATATTACAGATCTTGTTGGAAAATGCATTCCATATATTACTACCAGGGGTCATTTTGTAGAAAAAGAGGTGCAGGAGCTCATTAGCATAACTCATTAGCATAACTTATTTGCATATTCTATGCCCCCTGACATCACCGGAAGTGTGTCAAAAGGCAACACCTTTTGACACAAAAGGCAACGCTCAGGCTCCACTGGACTGTTTTGGATTGCTAGCTATTGGGGGGGGGGGACACATGCAGATCTGTCCTCGCAGAGGAGGGAGAGCTTGTACCTGAATGAAACTTGGTCTTAAAGGTGCCACTGGACTGTTTTGGACCGGGGGGGTGGGGGGGGGGGGGGGGCTCTGCAACTTACCTGGCTGCTTCTTGCTCTGACTGAGGGCTGCTGGGAGCAGGGGGTGGGGCTTGTTGCATGTGCCCACCCCCTGGGCTCTTTACTGCCAGAGCTCCATTCCTGTGCACTCCTGCAGGAAATGACCCCTGATTACTACTACTGCTGCTGGTGCTGCTGCTGCTGCTTCTGCATAAGACCAATGAGCGGCAGTTTCTGGTACATTTTCTGTACTTAATAGTATAGAGTTGGTCTACTTCCACATCAGGAATTTTCCTTGACTAACCCTAACCCTCCACTAAAAGGGGTGTCTAGTGATCAATAATGGTAGGTGAGAACAATCCGCATTAGCACTGTCTAATGAAAAATGGCCAATAGGTGGGGAAAAGCTTAATCTGCCTGCTCCCAAAACATTACATCTGAACTGAGCCATAAGGAGTTGGTCCTAGAGAGTATCCCTGCCACCACTGCTTAAAAAGTTGTCCATCCCTGCGTGAAGGCGTTTACCAATATATTGTCTGCTTGAATGGAAAACTCACCTTCCACTTTGGAGACGAAGCCAAGGCTACGCTTGAGGTCGGAGCAGATGGCATGCAGGCACCAGCGAAACTTGGCATCGCAGCGGTATTTATTGGCACCGCAGGTGTCATAACAGACATCCAGCTGGTTGCAGCACTTGGTCATGGCTGGGATGCCCAGATCCAGCTGCACAGGGGAAAAGAGAGTTCAGACCCAGAACATTCTTGCATGTTTCATTTTCGTTTTCTGCATGCCACCCACAGAATTCCATTCTGGACGTATGAGCTGCCCCATATGAATCAGACCACTGGTTCTAGCCCACTGCTGCTCTTTGGACTGGCAGCCCAAGGATTCAGGCAAGAGTCTTCCACAGATCCTTTAACTGGACAAGTTCCAGACGGGGAGCCATGTCAGTCAGCTGCAGCCAAAGAGTCTTGTGTCACTGTTAAAGGCTAGGGAAATATCTGGTGGCACAGGTTTTTGTCAGCCACAGTCCTCTTCAGCTGATGCATACTGAGATACATTAAGATACAGATACATATACACACATACACACCCAAAAGTACAAACAGCAGAAGGAAAGGATCGTTATGACAAAGAGATATCAGAAAGCTTAGTTTCCCAAGACAAGTTTATTTATTTTACTTATCTACTTCATTTCTGGCCCACTTTTCTCCCCAGTGGGGGATCCAAAGTGGCTTACAACTTTCTCCCTTTCTCTGTTTTATCCTCACAACAACCCTGTGATGTAGGTTCGGCTGAAAGTGTGCAATGGACCCAAGTTTCCAGGATAGAGTGGGGATGTGATCCTAATTCTACACTGTAACTACTACACCACGCTGCACTGTATTTGCAGATAAAACAAGAAGGGTAAACAATCTTCTTTTCACCTCTGCTCTGCAATTGAAATGTCTCTGGTTCGATACCCAGTAACTCTGTTTTAAACGATCAAGCAGTAGTTGGTGTGAAAGACATTTGCTTGAGACCCTGGAGAGCCTCTGCCGGTTAGAGTGGGCAATATTGGCTCTGAGAGATCAGCAGACTGACTCAGTATAAGGAAGCTTCATATTTTCATATTTAATTGCCTGCTTAACTTGTACATTGAAGCGTTCCAGGTTAGCAGTCAGGGCTGTAGCTACAGTGGAGCATCTCGGGGCTAGGCCCCCCAACTGACTGGCAAGCCCCCCCCAACTTCCCATCCAGCCCAGGGCCCCTGAGCGGCGGTGAGTGCAGGGAAGGAGCCGGGTACTCCTGCACAGCTGCCTGGCGCAAAGTGGCAGTGCAGAGCCAGACAACACCTCTCTATTTCCCGCAGAAAGTCTATTTAACCTTAATTAAATTACCTCTAATTCGATTAGCCAGTACCCCCTAAGAAAATTAAATGCCCCCTGACTAAAAAAATCCTGCCTACGGGCCTGTTAGCAGTTCTGTCTTCCAGCCAGGCTGAAACCCCAGTGCCTTTCTGAAAAGTACTGGGTTCACCGCATGGAGGACTCAGATGACGACATGCTTTTGCACACATTTATTGTACTTAACATCAGACAACTAAAACGGCCCTGCAAGGCCAACTATAGACACACCCACCCAGCACACCCCTAGTCCATTGGAGGGTTTGAATTTCCCGCCAAAGTGGCTATTGGTTGGGGCTGGGGGGAACTAGGATCCTATGTTCCTATTGTCCAAGGGAGCCAAACTCCTGCCTGTGCCACGGACCCCTAGTGGTGGTCCGCGTACATAACACTCCTCCCCCCATAGTTCAGACCCTACCTATGTAATGTAGTCCTGCAAGTAGGCGGGGGGCCGGCGCTCTCGGAGGGAACGCCTGGGGGCCGGCACTGGTTCACTAACCACTGGTTCTGGTTGACTAGCTTGTGACCTGGGGTTGTGGCGCCAGTTGTGGTGTTGGCTGCTGTGCTGCTGGCTCGGTTACTTCCGTGGCCTCCTCGTTGTTCTGGGTGTCGGCTTGGACGTTGGGTTCCTGAACCTGTGTCCCAGCTCCTGCCGTTAACTGGGGGGGGGGGGT